CATTGATAATTGCAATAATGAAGGTGAAATATGACCTTCATCGAACCTGCTCCACGTACATCAATTCTTCTCTACAGCCCAGCGAGGTGAAGGTTAGGGCTGTTGAGTAACTTCTCCGCATTACCCTCCCCATGGGTGGCCCGTTTAGACCCGGAGCCCAGGCCAGCGGGTGTAAATGCCGCATTTGTAAATGTGTTGAATGACCAAGTCTGTTAACTGTGGAATCTCTTTCAATCATGCATTTCTGTTTTCTGAAAGAGAAGGCAGATGCCTTCCGGGGACGCTTGCTTGTCTTCCATCCTCAACTTGACTCCCCACGCGATAATACACAGCACCTAGTGAGCGGTGGTCGGCAGATGAATGTGAGCAGAGAGGGAAGGCATGCGTAGGGGGCATAAGTGAACATAACGTGATGAGCTGACTCTGTTTTGTGGAATCAACAGGACTCTGAGGGTTTTGACTGCCAGGAGGTAACTGTGTTTATACCTCGAATAAGAAAACCAGGCCACACCATGAGGGTGGCCTACGTCCACTGAGGAGGAATAGAAGGTTATGAGTTTTTCTTTTTCTTCAAATCAGCATAATTCTTCATTAAAATTTTTACCTTTCAATACAGTTGGCACTTGAGATCATTCTGCATGAGTTTTGGGTGTACAGTGCAGTGGTTAGACACTCAGACACTTCACGCTGGTCCCCTGCAGCTTTGAGCTTTTTGATTGTGCTTCTGTGTAGACCTCCTCTCCTGCCTCCATTCCAGCAGAGATGGTCCCGGCCTGAGAGGTGAGGCCAGGACTCTGTGAAACCACTCAGACCACATGTTTACGCTCAGACTCGGCTGATGACGTCAGCCAGGCTTCAGGAACAGTTGGTTGCCAAAGAAGAAGGCTCACCCAGCCAACACCTGAAGGCATGAGACCCCACCCAGCCGGCCCCGGACACCCTTCTATTATACATGCGATCTAAGGCATGATGAAATTGTGTTTGCTTTTTCCCTCTTCGGGGTTTTGAAAACGTGACTCTACCCAGATACAGATTTTAGAGAAATGAAGACAAGCCCCAAATTTACCACATCGCTTAACCCCACCCAAGCTTCTGTGTTTTCTCGATTTTAGTTGGGGATAATAACTGCATCCTCTTTAAAAAGTTTTTTGAGAGGATTTGATGAGAAAATCGACATAGGCACTTAGGAGAGGGCCTAGAACACAGCAAAAACTTGACCAATGATGAACGATTATGGAGGTCTCTTTTTAAAAATCTTCATCAATTAGTTGTGATTCTTTGACCTGTATCCTTTTCCCTCTTTAAAACATCCTATTGGCTTGATTTCATTTTCAGACCTTTTCTCTCTCTGTAAGGGCGTTGGAGTGTAAAACATGGTTAGAAACAACTAGACAGGGAAGGTAGGGGAGGGTGGGGGTAAGGGGGAGAGATCAACCAAAGGACTTATATGCATGGATATAAGCTAATCAATGGACACAGACAACAGGGGGGTGAGGGCATAAGTGGGTGGGTTGGAGGGTAATGAGGAATAAGGACACGTATGTAATACCATAATCAATAAAGAAATTAAAAAAAAAAGAAACAATTAGGATTTCTTCTTTTTAGTACCATGTTCTAGTAGACTGACCAAGCTGCCCTGGCAACATGAGGGTGAATCAGGATGGTGAGCAACGAGCCTGGGCGTCTTGGCATGAGGTCTGTCCCCAGGTGACCGCACCTGGGATCCTCCAGGTGATTCTAAGGCACCACACCCCGAAGGCGGGAGGTGCCGTGTTTTCTCTGAGAAGGAAGAGCAGCCTGGAGAAAACACTCTCCTCGGTCTCCCGGTGGGAAGAGCACCAGGCAAACTCCACGGATAGCGAGGGCCCACGTTAGCAAAGCCCATGTGCTGCATCCTTGGAAATCGCTGGCGAACCTGCCCTGGAGCTTCCTGGATGGCAGGCGAGCCCACGGACGTCTGGGCAAGGTCCTCGGAGAAGGGCTGCCGGGAGATCCATGACGTGGGGACTCCACAGTGTCCCAGGGAAGCTCAGGGATTTGCAATAGTCGAAGCATGTGACCCCTGGGAGAGCGGATAACAATAGCACAAGGCTGTGTGGGTGAACGCCACGGGCCAGAAGGAATTTCAGGTGGATCTCAAACTCTTCCTTTTATCACTCCTTTTGTAGTTTTTCTCCTTCAGCCAAGTGTCCCAACGTCTGTGATGCCTGCGACTGTTTGAAGGCTGGCGGAGAATGGAATGACCTGGTTCTCTGAAATGTGCCGGACTGGGAAAGGGCTCCACATAGAGACTGGAGATGTAGTGAGATAGCTCAGAACGTGGCTGGGATGGGGAAGAAGACTAGCAAATGCTACGTTTTACTGAGAGCTTACTGTTAGGTGGTGCACCGTGTGCTTTGAATGCAGGATCTCATTTAATCCCCACGACAAGTTGGAGACAGGGGCTGTGATTGTTTCTGTTTTGTGGACGTGGAAACCAAAACTTGAAGAGGTGGCATCATCGGCCCCTGGGCACACACCTAGTTCACAGAACTGAGTCTTCAACAGGACCCTCTGCTGCTGGAGATTGTACTCTGAACCATGAAGCTAAAAAGTTGTGACTGTTAACGTGACTTAGAGAAATATCAGACCAAGCACATTTCTTCAAGAGCGCACCTACATCTGTGATGAATGTCCTTGACTCTGCCTCATCTTCCGTTAGGAAAGGGTTCGCATCTCATTGAATTTAGTGCCCCTGCACCTGCGAATTGGTCCAGCTGACAACCAATCAGTGTTTGTCAGGTGACCTGACGAGTTGTGTGTGACAGCTTCGGAAAGCTGGACTTACCAATGAAGAGATGTTGCCATGTGACCTCTCTACCAGAACCACAAAGTGAAGACAAGTCTTATTGACGGTCCCAAAGCTCATGGAGAAGCCAGAGAGAGGCCTAGCCAGTTTGGTTCACAAGATAGAGCATCAGCCCTCAGACTGAAGAGTCCCAGGTTCAATTCCAGTCAAGGGCATGTACCTTGGTTGCAGGCTCGATCCCTGGCCCTGGGCTAGGTGCGTGCAGGGGGTGGGGAGAGCAACCAGTCAATGTGTCTCTCTTATATCGATATTTCTCTCTGTCTGTCTCTCCCCCTCCTTTCCACTCTCTAAAAAATCAATGTGAAAATGTCCTCAGATGAGGAGTAACAAAAAAAAAAAGAAGAGATCTAGCTGGTTTGGCTCAGTGCATAGAGTGTTGGCCTGCAGACTGAAGGGTCCCGGGTTCAATTCCAGTCAAGGGCATGTACATTGGTTGCGGGCACATCCCCAGTAGGAGGTGTGCTGGAGGCAATTGATCAATGTTTCTAACTCTCTATCCCTCTCCCTTCTTCTCTGTAAAAAAGTCAATAAAATATATTGAAGAAGAAGAAGAAGGAGGAGGAGAAGGAGGAGGAGGAGGAGGAGGAGGAGGAGGAGGAGGAGGAGGAGAAGGAGAAGCAGCAGCAGCCTAGAGAGAATCACCCATCATGGCACCATCACCACTGCCCAGCAATTTTTTCATTACTAGAGGCCCAGTACATGGATTTGTGCACGGGTGGGGTCCCTCAGTCTGGCCTGTAGGGATCGGGCCAAAACCAGCTCTCAGACTTCCCCTGAGGATGGTTCTCCGGTGACGCACCCCAGAATTGGGCTCCCTCCTCTCTGGTTCCAGGTGCATCAACCGAGAACCACAGCTGCCAAGTCACCACAGCTCGGCAGCTCCTGCATTGAGTGTCTGCCCCCTGGTGGTCAGTACGCATCATAGCTACCAATCAAACAGTCATCAGTCAGCCAGTCACTTAGGCTTTTATATAGAGAGATAAGTCTATATGTTTTTCTGGGCACAACTCAGAAAACTTCTACAGAGTTTTAAATCTAACACATACAGTGACATTCAACCACTTATTGCCATCACATAGGGTCATTGCTACAAAGTCACTGGCCCCCAAAAGACTTCAAACTAAGTATGTGCCTCTCTCTTCCTAATTCCTGTGATTATGACACACTACCAGGGGTGGTACAGAAACTTCAGCTCTGGTGCAAAGCTGCCCACTCTTTGAGGCCAATGAAAGGATGGAAGGGAGTATCCCTAAGAGACAGATAGGGGTTTTTATTTTTTATTTTTTTCAACCATAAAAGAATTGCTGCCTCCAGGTTATAGCTTTGGTTTGGAGAGGGGTGAAGAGCTGAGCAGTTTTTAGGAATATCCCAGTCATCAAGTTGCCTTTCAATTTGTCTTTCAAGGGACTGAAGGTCACTTCCCAGGATAGTTCAACCTATTTTTATTGATTTATCAGGGGAATGGGAGGTTCCCCTGATGCCAGAGATGGAACAGGTGGAGGGGTCCCAGGATGGCTCTGGGTGGCGATGCCTGTGTGCTTTGGAAGGGATAGGACGGCCCACCAGAGGGAGGCGAGGGCACTATTTACTCTACTCTCTGTCCGTCATTTTGGGCTTGGGAGACTGACACGAGACTTGGCTTTTGTCAACCATTAGAACGCCCCGGAGACCACAAAAAACCAACGAGCTCTAACACTAACTCAGTAAACTCCCCAATGGCTCCGCACAGCAGGAGGCGGGGTCACTGCCTACACGCCCAACCCTACGCCACCAAGAGATGGGAACTGTATTCAGCGTTGCCAAATGGTACTCCTGGACATTGTTCCAGCGACGTTCACGGGTACCCCCTCTTGGAAAAGGTCGTGTATATTCCAGTGAATTTGAAAAATATGAGGTTTGTTTTCTACAGGATTCCTCAGGGCTTCTCATCTGCTATCCCAAACTGTGTGTCTCCCAGGAGAAGACTGTGGGTGTATTTTAAAAGTCAGGTTCTAGCCGGGCTGGCGTGGTTCAGTGGTTGAATGTCGACCTATGAACCAGGAGGTCACGGTTCGCTTCCTGATCAGGGCACATGCCTGGGTTGTGGGTTGATCCCCAGGGGGGTTGTGCAGGAAGCAGCCAATCAATAATTCTCTCTCACTGATGTTTCTCTCTCTCCCTCTCTCTCTCTCTCTCTCTCCCCCACCCCCCCTTCCTCTCTGAAATCAATAAAAATATATATTTTTTAAAGCCAGGTTCTAATATAAATGGTAGGTGATGCTTCCACTTCCTCTTGGGTTAGACCAGGAGCACATCAGAGACACATTGCTTGAAACCGCAGAAACACAGACGTGGATTTGTGTCCGTGTGCGAATGCGCGTCCTTTAGAAAAGAGCCAGACGAATGCCTTATGTACCAGGACAGGATGAGTGATGGTGGGGGCGGCAGGCTGGGGAGGGAGAGCCTCGGGGCAGAGATTTAGGCACGTCAGCACCCCGATGGCAGGTCCAGGCCCACAATTCTGACTCTGAATCCCTGGGAGACCTTCCCAGGGTCACTCCACAAAGCTGGTTCTGCTGCCCATAGCCAGCGCTGAAATTTAAAAAGTAAAGGCATCTCAAATTTTCTTACAAAACATTACAAGGCTTCAACAAGCCCATGCCGCCAAATGCTTTGGGCTTGTGGTCAAGGACACAGCCTAATGACAGGGTAGGGTCCTGGCCACCGGCAGGATTAACAGAGGGGTTTGCCCAGCAGGCATCGAGTCTGTCCGGCCAGCACTGCAGGGAGCTGACATCCTGGGGTCGGGGTGAGTCATGCCCTATGGGCACAAACACCCGGGGCGTGCTGTGTCCTTGGGCCAGAGTGGCTCACATCCCTGGAGGCTTGAAAAGAAAGAAAAACCTAGAACAATGAGCCGGTGACCTCTTTTCTGCTGCAGATGGAAAGCAAGACACATTGGCCCGTCAACCTTCAACCACAATGCTAACCTCCTCCTTTTCTATTAACCCCGGGGTGTCCTATTCATGGGGGGAGGCGGGGAGTTGGGGGGAGAAAATGAGATTGCCCAAGTAGCTATTGGCTCAGATCATGCTAACGCCTACCAAAGAGATGCGACTTCCAAGAAAGAACACATGGAAAAAGTGATTTTTGTGGTGGCAAGCTTGTGAACTCTGGGCATGGAGGCAGTATCCTCTGTCCAAATGTTATGCTTCCCTTTGGCGTTGCTGAGTCATCGGGTTGTCTTGAAATCTGAGTTTAAAAGCCTGTGAGGTGAGGCCTGCAGCAAGGAAGCCTCTTTTGAGTAGTGCAGGGGCGCCACCTGGAGTTCTGTGTGAGTACTGCAGCCCGCGCTTGGCTGATTCACAGCTCTGAGATGTCGTGAATGGAGCTGGCTCCCTTTTGCAACAACAAAACCTCCCAGCCAGCCCAGCATTTGCTATGGCAGCCCAGCAAATCACACAAATAAAATAAAATAAATAAAACACACACACAAAACAGACACACACACACAAACAGGTATTTCAGTAGTTCCTACGGCAGAGTACCAGGGTTCTCCAGAGAAATGGAGCCAGCGGTGTACACAGGCACACGGTTGAGAGATTTATTTTAAGGCACTGCCTCCTGTGGTTGCGGGGTCTGACAAGTTCAGAATCTACAGGCTGCACCTCCTGGAAGAAGTTGATGTTACCATCTTGAGGCCAAATTTCTCCATCCCCAGGAGACCTCACGCTTGTTCGCGTGGCCTTGAACTGACTGGCTGAGGCACACCATCCAATCTCCTGCTCCTGTCCCGGTCACATTCCTGTGCGGAAGTCCAATCCCCCTACGTCACAGCGTTGACTGTGTTTAGAGATAAAACCTTTGAAAAGGTGAGTAAGTTAAAATGAGGTCGTTAGGGGGGGGTCCTCATGTACTATGACTGGTGTCCTCATATGTCCTAGCTGGGTTGGCTCAATGGATAGAGTGTCTGCAGGCCGATTCCGGCCAAGGGCACATGCCTGGGTTGCAGGCTCAATGCCCAGTAGGGGGTGTGCAGGACGCAGCTAACCAATAATTCTCTCTCATCATTGATGTTTCTATCTCTTCCTCTCCCTCTCCTTTCCTCTCTAAAATCAATATTTTTTTTTTTTTTTAATAGGGGCATGTGAAGAGAGCAGACCACATGGAAGGAACTGCGGGTCAAGGAAACAGGCCTCAGGATAAACTCACCCCACCCGCACCTCGATCTGGGTTTCTAGCCTCCGGAATTGTGAGCAGATAAACTTCTGTGGAGCTGTTCCAGGATTCCAGGGCAGGAGGAAGAGGGAAACGGAGGCAGGAACGTTAAAACAAGGCCCAACCGCGTGGGCAGTCTGCAGCCAGCTTGTCACTAGCCAGCCACTGTCTTCCCCAGCCCAGAACACAGAGCCAGGGCGCAAAACCTCCCTAAGGAGAGAATGCAGAACGGGAGGGGGAGAGAGAGGAGGGGCGAAAGGGCCGTTTCACTCCCTAAGCAGAGAAGCCAGCAGTCTCCAGCCTTGGCAAGCTCACATTGCCAGGTGCTTCTCCTGAATTCTGGGAAGGCCCCAACCAGGTAACAAGGGACCGTATACTTCAGCAGAGGAATCGCGAGACCTCCAGGCAGGAAGGTACGTGACGCCTTAGGCTGCCACCCACCCTGCTCTTCAGATTAGCTGAGAGCTGTCTGTGCTTCGTACGCATGCTTCCATTGCTTTAACAAACTGGCTTTTCACAACGCTGTCAAGGTCTCTCGCATAAATTCATTTCTGTGAGAAGACAAGGACGGAGGCTGGGAGCAGCCCTCTCCCACTGGTTGGGGGGCGGGGAGGGCTATGAGGTGGCACTTCGCTGGGGCAGCCCGGCAAACCCATACCCCAGGGTGTTTCCGTATTTCTTCCACCTTAACTTGCACGCGTGTAGAACTGTTGTGCCGCTGAGGAGAATGTCAGTGATTTGGGGTTTGAAATTCTCTCCGGTTTCCAGGAGGATGCCATGTAATGTCACCTAACAGGTCTGAGTGCGCATGGGTAGCAGACAAAGGCTCGTTCTCAGGCACGCCTTGGCCTCCCAGGCTTTCTGCACTCCCGGGAGTCACAAATGTATTTAAATTATTACAGTACAACCCCCCCCTCCCCCGACACACACACACACACCAATGTAATGGAAATGGCAGTTCTCTGAAGCAATGCTTTCTCGTGCTGAGGGCCGGCCAGGACGGCCACGGGGAAGTGTGTGCTTCTGGCTGCTGTGCCTGTGGTCTGAGCGGACCCTCTCTGAAGCCTTGGTTCAGGGCCGTGCCTTTTGTGTCTGTGACTAAGACACGTCCGTCTTAGACGGTTCAGGTGGCTAATAACGGGATACCACCGATGGGTGGCTTTCGAACAAGGGGAATGTTTCAGCATCCGGTGAGGGCCCAAGTTCATAGATGGTCAGTTTTTGGGTTGTTTTTGGTGTTTTTTTTTTAATCCAAATGCGGTATTGGGAGGGTTTCCAGCTCCCCCTGGTGTGAGGCCTCGCTTTCCCTCCTGATGGCTGACCCAGGACGGTGGAGCCACCGACACGTGACACTGCCGCTGGTGCCTAGCTGAAGCCGGGGGCGATTTACAGCATCCTGGGCCTCCTACACCCACGAAGTAGGGATCGGGATCTGCGCCAGGCGCTTCTTCTCGTGTCTCCTCTCCTCCTCTCCTGAGAGGGACGGAGACCCTCAGCCAGAGGCCTGTTGTCCTGGGGAGGCTCCTCGGTGGTCACCTTGCTGTGCACCCTCTCAGAGCACAAGGGGTGAGGGAGCTCCCTGAGGACCCTCTCCTAAGGGCACGGCTCCCATTCTTGAGGGCTCCACCGTCATCACCTAACCACCCCTGGGAGACGTGCCTACCCATGCCAACATGTCAGGCATTAGCATTTAACAAATGAATGGGGGGGGGGGGGTCACAAACATTGAATTTATAGCAAGTACAGAATAAACCATCTGACTTTAATAAAATAGAAGGAATAACTGTGATGAGTGTCATCATTAATATTTACTTGAGCCCTAGCTGGTTTGGCTCAGTGGATAGAGCGTCGACCTGAAGACCGAAGGGTCCCAGGTTTGATTCCGGTCAAGGACGTGTACCTTGGTTTCAGGCACATCCCCAGTAGGGGGTGTGCAGGAGACAGCTGATGGATGTTTCTCTCTCATCCATGTTTCTAACTCCCTATCCTTCTCCCTTCCTCTCTGTAAAAAATCAATAAAATATATTTTAAAATAAAAATAAAAGCTGTTATGGTGGACAAGTCACGTCCTAGGCCGGTACCTTCCCTGACAAAGGTCAGTCTTTACCTTAACTGAGCCTATTGCATATCATTGCAATGTCAGGCATATTAGCATAACCAAGGGACACAGACACTGGGGACGTGGGGGCTTGTTGTTGGGGGTGGGAGTGGCTGGGGATGTCAATGGGGAGGGAGACATATGTAATACTTTAAACAATAAAAAGAAAAAAGAAATGTCAGGGTAATGTGTAACTTCCCTTTTTCTGGACCCCTCAGGGCACAGCCAAAAGCCCTGGGCGCCAGGAAGGAGGCCACAGATTCCTTCGCTGTTATTGTTATCATGTTGTTGTTGACTGCTAACTATCCTGCACCCCCTAAGTAAAAGAAGCGTGTGTCTATCTTTTTTTTTTTATTAAATTATTATCTGTGTACATATCTTACCATTGTCCCCCCCACTCCCATACACGCCCTCCCTCCCCAGAGTTTTGTGTCCATTGGTTGTCCATATGCATGCATAAAGTCCTTCGGTTGATCTCTTATCTCCCCCAGATCTCCCTTCCCTCCAGGCTGTAATTTGACAGCCTGCTTGTTGCTACTGTCTCTATATCTATCTTTTGGTTCATCAGTTTATAATGTTCTTTATTATCCACAAATTAGTCAGGTCATGGAACATGTATTCTTTATTAAATCTTAGTAGTATTATTTAAGGGACAAACACACAGATGAGTAGGCTACAGTGACTAACAGAGTTAAGAAGTCACTAAGATACTCCAGGTACTACCTTCAGTGGTGCTTCTTATCTTTATTCTGGGACTCCAGGAAATATTCAACCCCGACAGCGACCACAAAGGCAGCAAACCCCCATTTGAATCCTTTTAGCACTGCACCAACAAAGGTGGCATTGTCTGCAAAGCCACCCGTGTATCTCCAAGCTTCGTGGCGGCCCCAAGGACCCTGGAGCCCCCGTGCCGCCAGCTTCTCCTGCACAGTTTCTAAGGGTGTCCCTTCTATCTTCCATTTTCCATAATCCGGAAGGACCAATTTACCATGGCCATGCCCATGCCTATGTTCATGTCCATGGGCCATGTCTGACAGCAATCTGACCTCTCAGGACACTCAATAGTCAACCCTCCAGCCCTCATTTTATTTTTTATCCAATCCCAGGGGTTCCCTCCTTCCCGCTCTGCTTTCTCCCGCCTCCCTCATCTATCACCAATGGATTTCGGTAACCCACTTACGTCTCCTCCTTTGATTGTAATGTCTAAAACAAGATTTAAAAAAAAAAACAAAAAAAAAAACAAAAAAAAAAAAACGGCCATTCTTGCTCGCATTATCCCAACCCATTGAGATTCTGCTTCCCAGCAATGGTCAACATGCCTGAGTTGCTGCCCTCGGTGTCCAGTAGAGGGCAGCCCATCAATGATTCCCTCTCATCAGTGATGTCTCTCTCTCCCTCTCCCTTCCTCCCTTCCTCAATAAAAATACTTTTTTTTTTAATTCATGGTACACACTCCTCCCAGCTCCTCCTCCCCAAACCACGAGGCGCAATGTCCCAGGACAGTGACCCAGAAATAAAAAGCAGTTCCGTTCAGTACAGGAAGCACACACGGAGTTCCTTTCGAGTTTAGCATTTTTAGAACGGCATCCAAAAAGAGGATGTGATGGTGTTCTTTTTTTGCTGTGTGTGCGCATGTTAACGCCTCTTTTTTTAAGTTTTTTGTTTTGTTTTTAAATATATTCTATTGATTTTTTTACAGAGAGGAAGGGAGAGGGATAGAGAGCTAGAAACATCGATCAGCTGCCTCCTGCACACTCCCCACTGGGTATGTGCCAGAAACCAAGGTACATGCCCTTGACCGTTATTGAACCTGAGATCCTTGAGTCCTCAGGCCGACGCTCTAGCCACTGAGCCAAACCGGTTAAAGCAAGTGTTAGTACCTCTTAAGGCCCTTTCAACCCCCCGGTCCACACATTCTCATTTTCAGAGGAGATACAGGGTCCGATTGTTTTTTGGAAGAGAGATAGATACATAGAGCAAGAATTCCACAAGGAGCAGTGCCCTTGGCGGGCACGGATCTGTCTGTTGCTTCACTGGTGTTTGGACGGAACAGACCCAGGAAGGCCCCTTCGGCCAGCCTCCGCCCCTCTCCTGTCTTATCCAGTCACCACCTCAGAACCACCTCTGGGACCAGCCAACAACACACTGTTGTTGTTTTCTACCTTAACTCCTATTGCCGAACGACCATGAGCTCCCACATGCGTCAGAATCACTCCACCCACCGAGGTGGAGGCTGCAGGCAACCGCCTGGCCAGCCTGCCCCTGGGCCCCCCACACCTACCTCTCTCGGCCGGGAAGACGTGGCTCTGGAAGGCTTGGGCCGCTTCTGCGAGTTGGCAGAGAAGAGGCATAAGGGCGGTGAGCGCGGCGGCCGCATTCTCTTCCAGGACGCGCTGAAGCCGCCCCCAAGATGAGTGGGCAAAGCTCAGGACGCCGTGGAAGCCGCCCAGGCCCTTCGGGAGCTGCCTGCCCTGGGTTCTACCCGCGCAGACCCTCAGCTCCTGACTTCCTGCAGAACCACTTCCGGGGTGAGGAGGTGGAACGCATCAAGAAGATGGGCGACACCTGCCTCACCTTGCAGGCGGCCGGCCCCAGGCTGGGCTGAGCCAGTATCTCTCCCAAAGGCTCCTCCTCAAGCACGACCAGGAGCCTTTGGAGCCCGGAGGCCTTGGAGGGGCCCCTCTGCATCCCCCTGGCGTCTGGCTTTTACCTGAGCCTCAACCGGAAACTACTGGCCATTCTTTTAACCACCCTGAGGCCCTCACCCAGGCATCGGACCAAGTGAAGCAATAAAGCGTTTTGCAGAAAAAATAATAATAAAATTCCACAAGGTTGAGTGGAGACAGAGCATTCCAACACTCACGTTAGAAGCCAGCTCCTGGGCTGGTGCACCATCACGTGGCTTACGGGGAAGATGACCTTGTTGTCGCTGTTGCCATGACTACACGCTGCGCTGCCATTTCCTGGGAGTCGGATGGTTACTGTGGGCGAAGCTGCCTGAGCTGAGGTAGCCGGGTCCTCAGCGGCTGCAGGACCTGTTGGCTCAGTCTCTCCTCTCTGCTCTCAGGCCACCGAGCTGTTTTCACGGTCCCATGGCAACGGAATTGAGGCTCGGCTCTCCTGGTGCCGGGAAACCGGCCAAATCACACCACCTGTTTGTTGTTGGGCCCTAACTGGTTTGGCTCAGTGGATAGAGTGTCGGCCTGAGGACTCAAGGCTCCCAGGTTCAATTCCAGTCAAGGGCATGTACCTTGGTTGTGGGCACATCCCCAATAGGAGGTGTGCAGGAGGCAGCTGATCGGCGTTTCTAAATCCCTGTCCCTCTCCCTTCCTCTCTGTAAAAAAAATAAATAAATAAATAATTTTTTTAAATGTTGATTGAAGCAACATTAGTTTGTCACAAAAATGTCCCTTCACTTCAGTCACGTGTCTCAGATCCCTCCTAAGTTCATGTACCTCGTGAGTCTCCTAGAAGGCAGATATAACCCAGAGCATTTCACTCACTTTTTTGAGTAAAGACTTTTTTTTTTTTTTTCCTTTTTGGCCAAGCAGCTGGAGAGGCCATTGTCCCAAGAACCATTCTTGGGGGCATGCTGCATTACTCCAACCTGTACCTTACGACCACGTCTTCCCTGCTAGCTCTCCGTCCCAGAAAAACACCCTGTCAGCTGGGGTTTTCAGATGCAACTTTGTGAAGCAGTTCACAGACCCCGTCCAAGGATCCACCCGTCAGGGTTGGCCTGGAATGGCTCCTTTGTCTGTGCTCTTGGTCACCCTCCGGTCACAGGAAATAGATTGAGGGTTTCAGATCCTGGTCCTCCCTCCTCCTCTCTCTCAACCTCTCTTTATCAGAGTCACAGAAATAGTTCTGAGTGTGTTCAGACATAAAAATAAAAAATAAAAAATACATAAATCCCCCCAAGCAAAACCAGATGCCTTGCCTGTCCGGTGGCGTTGGCAGCTCAGAACTTTTAGGAAAGGTCCTAATTCCAGTCCCCTTTCCAAAGGGGACACTCGAGATGCATGAGCAACTGCTCCGAGGTAGAAATATGTGCTTCTGAATAAACCAGCTCTGAACTTTGCAAACTGCCCCATCGTTGCATTTGAATGCATTTCAAGCTGTCAGCTCCCAGGAGGCCAGGATTAAAATCTGGGGAGCGAGACTGTTTCCTGCCCCGCTTCCCTGATTGGCGAGGGCTGATGCCTCACTACAAACTAGGAGCCCGAATCTGCCGCGGCGGTTTCCGCCTGTGACCAGGAGATGGCGCCATCGGAAGCCGTATGTCTGCATCTCAGGCCTTTCTGCTCTTCACACAGAGGTCAAAGGTCCAGGGCAGGACTAGAAGACCGAGTACTGTCCAAGACCATAATCCAAAACCGGAAAACGCCTCCAGTTCTTGGGTGTGTTACTTTGGGAGCACTTGGGCGGATGCCAGAAGGCCTGTTCATGCCTTTTTCCAGCCACGGCTTCGTGACTCCAGTCCCTTGACCTTTCTCGCTGCCCCGGAGGAAGAGAAACTTCCTGACTCGTACAATTGGACCGTCTGACCGTGCCTGTTCTCACGGGACTTAAGAATTGGAGGGGGTTGTTGAGGACATGTGGTCCAGGCCCTCCCCAGCGCAGGAACTGACCTCATTAGGAAAGACGCCATCTATTTTGATAACCTCAGTAAGGTCAACAGTTCGTTCATCTACTCAGCTGCCGGCTCCTTCTCAGACCTACAGGTGCCGTGGTCGGCAAACGGCGGCTCGCGAGCCACATGTGGCTCTTTGGCCCCTTGAGTGTGGCTCTTCTACAAAATACCATGGCCTGGGCGAGTCTATTTTGAAGAAGTGGCGTTAGAAGACGTTTATGTTTAATAAATGCGGCTCTCAAAAGTAGGGGAGGGTGGGGGTAAAGGGGAAGAGACCAACCAAAGGACTTGTGTGCATGCATATGGGCCTGGCCAGTGGCCATGGACAACAGGGGTGAGGGCATATGTAGGAAGGGGTTTGGGATGGGATTGGGGGGGATGAGGACAATTATGTGATACCATAATCAATAAAATTTTAAAAATGGGAAGCCAAAAAAAAAAAAAAATTTTTCAGTCGTTCTCCTGTTGACATTTGGCTCTGTTGACTAATGAGTTTGCCGACCACTGGTTTAGGTGGGTTACTGCGCTTGACTGCCACCCTCACACTGTTTATGGAGTCATTTATTCATTCACAACTCACTCATGACGCAAATATTCGGTTATTTAATCAGCTGGCTTCAATGAATGAAACGGGTCCTGCGCCTTACCCTACTAAACCCTGCAGCCAATCCCTGACCCCGTTACCCACTGCCTCCTCTGCCGCTGCAGGCAGGGAAGCGGACCCTCAGAAAGAGTGAGTCCCTTACTGGTATCCAAGGAAACACAGCTCCTAAGTGACGGTGGTCGTGGCAGGGGCCTGACTCCAGGGTCCTACCCTGAACTGTAACCTTCCCGGGTCTCCCCAGGTGTGCACGGACGGCCCCTTGGGGACCCCGTCTTCGCACGCCGCCGCCTGAGCGTTCTCCTTGGGACCCTGACAGACACGCCCGGCTCACAGGGCACCGGATGGGTCTTCCGCTCTTCACTCCTCTGCCTCGAAGCTGCTCCTGCTCTGGCTGGTGTTCCCTGGTGGTTAGAGCGTCGGCCTGCCCACCGAAGGGGCTTGGGTTTGATTCTTCTGAGCTAGAAGACTGAGGAGCCCCTCAGCCTCTGACTTCCATCCCCGGTCAGCAGCTTCCTCTGATCGCTGGGGTCATGTCCGGACTCCGAGCCTTTCCCAGGGTGATTCACGGGGTTGGAGGGCAGGGAGGGAGGGAGAAACACACATTCACGAAGCCCAGACTAAGTCCACCCTTTGTATGTGTTATTTCATTGTATCATCGCTGGAAGGATTGTATCGATGAGAAGTAATAGGCTCAGAGAGGTCAAGTAACTTATCCAAGGCCACACAACCACGAAGTAGCGGGAGATAAGGACACAGCTTGTCTGACCAAGAGCCCATGTGATGTCCACTGTCCCGCACTGCCTCCCAGATCAGGGAAGGGGCTCGGGAATCTGCACTGT